GGGTGAGATCTCTAGCTCCAGGAGCAGTTTGAATGTAGCCTTTTGAAAACCTTTTGAATGTAAGCTGTTGCTACTTTAAAAGGAGAATAAACGTCCCGTTGCCATTGAAAATTTGATTTTTTGACTAAGTTTGTTCAAAGCTTTTCTTAAAGTTCTTGAAAGATTTTGAGTGTCTCATAGGTTCAAACTTCTATTCTCCAAGAAGTAAGGTTTGACCAGTTCATAGGGTACAATACACCAATGTGTGGGATAAAGTTCACCACTATTCCTCTACCTTGAAATTGTGATAAATTCCCTTGTAAAGCATTTCCTAATTACCTGAAGCCAATGAGCTTTTCCTAACCCTCAACATCTGGTATTCGTCCACCTGCCTACTGTCCTTCTAAAGTACTGTCTACCTCACTAAATAAGAGAACTTCGGACCTTTTAAAAGTGCGGTATCTGGTAACAACTCTGAACACATATGCCTGATTCCTGCCTGGCAGAATTAAATAGGATTTCTCTCCTAAAGGAAAGAAAGCTTGAGGTATGTTCTGCAAGATTTTTGTATTTTTGTTTAAAGGAAGAACACTTTTTTCCAAATGATTTGCATGACACTGACGCTTCCTTTGGAGAAACAAAGAGGTTCATTACTCCTTGGGCTGTGTTATATCCGTTTTCCTGCATTTACTGAAAGTCTCTTGATCAAGTTTTATATTCCATTGGTTGTGGCATTGCTTTCTGGATTAGCCAGGAGAAAACTCAGAAAAAATGTAGGTAGAAAAGACAAGTGGAAAAAAAAAACAACCATTCAAATTCAGAAAGCCTTCTTACATGTAAAAACAGCAAGGCCAGCCACACTGCTGGTGCAGTGGATTCTTGTGATGCAGAAGCGTTTCTAGCAAAAGCTACACCAATGTCATCCTACCTGCAGCTGCAGCATCTCCTGACACAGCAACGAAAGTTGCAGCAGTTTCAGTGAAGGAACCACAGCAATCAACAAGATGCCTGGTTGGACTATAAGAAACCAAGACTTCAGGAAGAGATGGTGAGGAAACAACCTGTGAAAAATGAAGATGCAGTCACAAAAACAAAGCCCCAAATGAACAGAGGTGTCCTTTGGTGAATTTTGAGTGGCTGAGTTCTGTCTGGCTCCTACTTCACTGGAGAATCCAGTGTTCACCATAAACAGAGTAGAAGCTCTTAAAGCTGCCACTCCAGGCCACATAAACTTAAGCAAGAAAATTTATATAGGTTGTTCCAAAAGTAAGGCTTCTTTTTTTTTTTTTTTTTTTCATGAAAACAGCAACAGATACAAACAGCACAATAGCACTATTTGATAGAGCAAATTCTCAGATAAAAAAATGCTATTTTTCATTATAGTCACCACTATTAGCTATTTCAACTGCAATGAACAACAGCCTGCATGCTGTGCTCATAGAAAATCTGCATCAGTGCAGGTGACCCACTGTATCACAGCTGCTATGGCAGTGTAATTGCTACAAAAACATTGCTCATGCAGTCCACCTTTCACTGGCCCAAACAGACGGAGGTTAGAAGGCACCAAATCCAGATCATATGGTGGGTGTGGCAATGTGCTCCATGGTCTTCAAAGTGGTGTGAGGCCTGGTGTTATTGTATTGCAAGAAAAAGATTCTGGAAGATTCTGATTCTGGAAGTTTGAGCCTTCAGCTTAGTCAGCCTTACAACATAGTGGTCAGAATTGATGGCTTGTCTGGGTTCCAGGAAATCCAGAAGGACCATCCCTTTTCCATCCCAAAAGACAGAGCACATCATTTTACCCACTGAGGGCTGCATCTTCAACTTTTTTCTTCAATGGAAATTCACATTGCCACTCCATGGAATACTGTTTTGACTCCGGCTCATAATGGTGACACCACATCTCGTAACAGATAATGATGTGATTCAGGAAATGTCACCTTCAGCCTCATATTATTTCAGTAGGTCCAGGAAACTTGCATAGTGTTCTTTCTGTCCCTAAGTGAGCATTCATAGGACTCATCTGGTGCAAATTTTGCAATATTCCAGTGTTGCCACCATCAATTACAACACATTGAAGCCAATACCCATTTCTGTACACAGGTCTGTAATCCACCAATTGGTACTTTATTCCAGTGCCTGCTACACTTGGATCTACTGCCAAGATTCTTTATGATTTAGTTCAAGATATTAAGATCTACAGCAAGCTTGCTTTGGTAACTTCACTTTAAATTCAGACATCCAGAACCACTATTTGTCTAGCCATATAAACAAATGTTCAGCCTCATAAAAAAGAGGTGTGCTCCAAGATGCTCAGATGTTAGATGAAACAGGTCTCTGAGGATTTATTTATCTAGCTAATCTCCCAGAAGAGAGGAGGAAGAGGGGGGAATATAAATGCAACAGTAAGTATCCACAGAAACCTTATATGTGAGAAAGGCTGCTACTTATATCAAAGTCTGCATTGTCTTAACTTAGAATAAATGGCTGCCTACTGCTTCCAAGAACTAGCACTATTTTCCTCTGTAACCCTATCGAAGATCAGATCAATTATTGCTCTTTTTTTTTTTTAAGCAGGTTACAAATCTGACGAAGATGTCGTTTCAAGTGTATCCACACAATAATCAACAGAATTTTAAGTACTGGTTCCAGATAACTTGCAAGCTTCATTTTCTTGTGGAGTACATGTCTTACATTCATTACATCTGAATATGTATCTACAGGACTGAAAGTCAGAGTCAACTTTTAAGTTGGATTCCTCCAGTGCACAGCTTATCTTCACCCCTTTCTAGAATATGTGCAAACATTACCTATGAACATATATTGTTATATTCCTGTTTCTATACTGTACTTCAAGCTCTCATCTCCCATATGGTATTCGAAAACAAGCATTCAGCAGAGTCACAAAAGAGCCCAGTATTTCCCAGTTACACTTCTGTTTGCTCAGCACTAAATTGCTCTTTTGACAAGGAAAGGTCTCCTTCTACCATCAGAAGCCTTAATAGTACAGGCTATGTAGAAACTTTGATGAGGACTAGAATCTGCAGAGCAGGATCTGCAGGTCTGGAGCTTAGTGACACTGAGTCCAGAAGTAGTTATTGTGTGCCTCATCTGATAAATGTACGAAATTTGCAACAGAAAAACAGGTGGGATTTACAAATAGTTTTATGATGTTGAAAGTTGAAATGTATGTGAGGAATACCTGTGCCACACTTGCTAGCTCATCAAATCATAGAATATCCTGAGTTGGAAGGGACTCATAAGGATCATCGAGACCAAATCCTGGTGACCCAAAAATCAAACCCTATTGTTTGAGACCATTCTTCTTGAACTCCAACAGCTCAGGGCCATGCCAACTGCCTTGGGCAGACCCATACCATGCCTTCTACCCCCTGGTGCAGACCCTGTCCCTCACCCCCAGCTGCCCCTCCCCTGACGCAGCTCCATGCCGTTCCCTCGGGCCCTGTCGCTGTCATGCAGAGAAGAGCTCAGCACTGCCCCTCCACTCCCTATGAGGTGCTGCAGCCTCCATTAGCCCTCCCTTCAGCTCCTCTGCTCTGCACTGAGCAAACCCAGGGGCCTCAATCACTCCTTATATATCTTCCCCTCTGGATCCTTTACCACCTTTGTAGACCTACTTGTACTGGAACATGAAAGGTTTTAAGACAAAAGAAATCTCTTTGACTACAGCATTCAACAAAGCCTTTCAGAAGGACTTCAGGGCAATGTTCCCTAGACCTGGTCAGGCACTCCATGACTTCCTGCTGCAAGTAAGATTCTGAAGCATTCTCCATTCCCTTTAGTGAAACTGTAGTGTTCAGGAACAGCATTCCAATTTTGTGAACATTCTCTGCAGCATAGAGTAGACAAGTCAAAAAACTTCACATGCAGGGAGATGAAAACATCACAGAGCTGTGCTGAAGGCAGATTGGAAAGTGGGTAATGGGCTGTGTGGAATGGTTTGTTGTAAATATCAAAATAGATACACAAATTACACTCATCTTGCATAACATGAGTACATTTTAAATTAAAAGGAGAACACAGCTGCCTCAGAAACACTGAAGCCAAGGAAGAACAAAAGATGATAACATCTTCCTCCTGTCCGCTCCAGTGCAGGTGAATATACGTTATGGGGATGCTCATGGTTTCCTGAGATTCCAGTGCTTTCTTTGTCGGCATACCCTGCCTGGCAGTGCCAGCATCAGTCTGTCAGGTAGGAGGTGGCAGACTGAGGCACCCTGCTTGCAGGCAGCTCAAGCTCTTGGAAGCATGCTGCTCACACCCTGCCTTCTTCGTGCGTGCAGAGCAGTTCTTCTCACCAGCCTACTGCCATCAGCACTTCACACGGCCGCAGAGCCCGCTTTCCTCACGGGACCACCAGGGCAGGGCCTCAAGGAGGTCAGCTCCTCAAGGAGCCATTTCGGGCCCTACACAGGCCCAGGCCCGTCGGCGGCGGGGCCGCCTCCGCGGACAGCGCAGATCGCACCTCACCCTGTCCCGCGCTACCCCTGCTCTCCCCTCTCCTTTCCCGCCTCGGCGGGGCTTTCCCTCAGGGCGGCCGCTCCCCTCCCGCGCGCGCGATCCCCGGGCGCCAACGGTGCGGCGCGAGGCGGGGGGGTGGGGACGGCAGCAGTTCGGCCGCCATTGCCCCGCGCGGCGCGGCGCGTGCGGGCGGCCCCTTTAAGGCTTCGACGGCGGCAGCGTGCACATCGCCATGGCAACCGAGGGCGGGCGCCGTCGGGCGCGCTGACGTCGAGGGGAAGCTGAGCAATAACAGCCGCGACGCGGGGCGGTACGACGGTGTCGGCGGCCTCGGGGCGCGTGCGCGGCCTCGGGCCTGCTTCTATTTATGTGGGGGGGCGCCAAGATGGCGGAGGCGGCGAGGAGAACGTAGGGAGCAGATCAGACCGGGCGGCGGAGGGGGGAGGGGAGAAGGAGGAGCCGGGAGGAGGGAACGCGGAGAGCGGTGTCACCGTTCGCGCGAGGCGGGGGCCGGTGAGAGGGCGGGGGGGCGGCGGAGGATGGCGGAGCCGCGCCGGGTGCCGTTCATTAGCCTGTCACCCGTGAGGCGCCGCGAGGCCGAGAGTCCGGCGCTGGAGCGGGAGCCGGGGGGCCGCGAGCCGGAGCCGCCGCCGGCGGGCCGCGAGGTGCCGCTGACGGAGCCGCCGCCGCCGGCGCCTCGGGAGAGCGCCGCCCGCCTGGAGTCTCCCCGCGAGCCCGGCCGGCCCGAGCAGCCGCCGCAGCGGGAACCCCCCCGGCCCGAGCCGCCGCCGCCGCGCCAGGGCAGCCGGCAGGAGCCGCCGCCGCCGCAGGAGGCGCTCCCGCTCCGCCAGACGGTCCGCCTGGAGGTGGTGCTGAAGGACCCCACCGAGGAGGGCTGCGTGGAGTTCAGCTACCCGGAGCTGCTGCTCTGCAGGGAGGCGCGGGTACGGGACCTCCCCTTCCCTCCCTTCTTCCTCCTCCCCCCTTCCGCCTCTTCCACCGTAGCGTTATCGGCGGCCTCGTCCTGCCGGGGTGTTTGTCCCGGCGCTGAGACCGTGTTCGGGAGAGGGGAGGGGTTCGCTTCGTCGAGGAGGGCGCCTCGCATCCCGGCTCTCTGCCCTCTTTCTGCCTGGGTAGCGGTGCGGTGTACCCTCTGGGACCGGGAGGCTTTTCTGGCGGAAGATGGAGCTGTCCCGTGTTGGGCTGTTGTCTTTGGGCTCTCTGCTGGTGAAGGAGTTGTTAGCCCGGCTCTGTTGCCAATCTTGCAGAGCAGTGGGGTGAGCGTCAGTCCTGGAGGTGCATTATGGAGTAGGAGTTAACCTCGTTGTAACTGGCACCTCACCCGTAACTATCAGAGCCTTCGCTCAGGAAAAGTTCTTCTTCTTTTTCTCCCAATCAGAAAATACTTAGTACTTGGGCTCCTGTGTTTATCCTGCAGACAGTTTTGAGGAGCGAGCAGTATCACCAATGAGCAGGACAGAGTGCTCAGTTAGGAAAGAGCCAGTCCTGCTGGAGCCAGTCACTCTGTGAGGTGCAGGTACTGATGAAGTTACACTGTGTGGTTGTGGCTTCTCTTAATTTCTCTGTTTGATTTTAGAGAAAGTTTTTATCTTCTTGGAAAAGGCAGGGGCAGCTGCTACAGAGACAGGTAGCTTTTGTGAAATCTAAGGGCAAACTTCAGGTACTGGTACTGATACTGTCATTGGCTTTTCAAATCCGGCATAACCACCAGCACATAATAACCAGCATAAAGAGTGGTTAAAGGAGCAAAATATTTCTATTTCTAACAGTGCTTAGTGGCCTGTTTACTTCTTGCACAGTATGGAAGGGATGTAGAAGTTTGTTGTGTTCAAATGCTGAATCCCTCTGTGACTTCTGAGGTAAGTTAAAAGCTCCAGCCCTACAGCTGCTGTGGGCAAACAGTGCCAGCAATGACTGCTCTGGATTGCAGCAGCAGCCTGGTGCTTTGTGGAGTGCCATCTTTCTGAGTAGTTCCTGTGTGAGGATGGAAGTTGTGGTAGTGTTTCAGAGTGGGCCTGCACATAGAGGCAGACTTTGTCCCCTGATAATCCCCACTTGTAACTGCTGTTTTTTGTAGATTGTTAATGTGTTAATCGCATAGGGGGGGAAAAAGTATATTTATGCTTCTGATGAAAATTCCATGTTTTCTGGAGGAAAGTAGGGGGGGGGAGAAACACTGATGTAGAGGAGTTCTGTTACAACTAAGATCAGATAGATAGAAATAGTGATAGAATTGCTTCATAAGGAATCTCTGACAGTACAGATTGAAGATCAGTAGATTGTAATATTGTCTCTTTCTGGACTGTGAGGAACAAACAACTGATTATGTAAAACTGTGTCATAAATTGTGATCCTTTAAAAGCAATTCTGAACTGTTCAAAATCTATTGTGTAGTTGTCCTGTCAGTTTAACTTCTTGCTGATTACAAAGCAGAAACTGAAAAGGCTTCTCTATATAGCAGAGGGGACTTACAATCTTGCCTCAGTCAGCATGCAAAGACGAGGAGCATGTTGTGTCCAGGAGTAAAACAGGTATCCCACTTCCTTCATGGTTATAGGAAACATAAGAGGAGAGCTTGCTCTGCACAAATCAGCCTCTCACTTAATCCCTGGTCACTCTCAGACCAAGAAATGTTGTAACCTCTTCAGAATCCTAAAATAGAAGCAATTATGAAAGGAAGACTGATTCTGCTTGTGGAGTAGAATAACTACGGTGATGTGTAGTAGTTAAGGCAGCGGAGAAAACTGCTTTGTTAAAACAGATCTTGAAGAAGAATCTTCTGCCCTCTGTCATTTTTCTGCTGATTCTGAGATTTGCTGTGAGTTAGTGGTAAGTAGTTAGCAGTTAATGCTGTTGTTTTAAATGGAGCTTAAGCTTTCAGAACTTAGTTTTGTTATAAAGTTAAAATGAACAGTTCATACAAACTTAGTTATGCAAACTGTTTTTGTAGGGTGAAGACTGATGGGGTTTTCTGAAGACTATTGTTTACTACTTATCCCTTATAAGTTACTCAGTTTCCTTGAAGCTATTCCCATTGAAGTTCAACATGACATAATTCAAAACATGTCTTTATCCTGTAGTGTTGCTTGGGGCTAGAGTAGCCAAGAATGGATCTCCAGAGGCTCGCTGTTCTGGAAGGGAAAAGATGTGTAAAAATTCCATCAGTGTATGGGAATAACTGGAAGCATTAATTTAATAGGTCTCTTAAGCAGTTAATAAAGAATACCAAAATTTACTTGACAGGTTGAATGCTACCTTTTTTGTTGCTGTTGTTCAATTCGAAAATTGGATTTACAGCCTGAAGGAGAAGCTGATGAAAATGTTTCTGTGTGGTGTTCTTCTCCTTTGCTTTTTTTTAATACCAGTGAAGAAAGCATCCTTTGGTGGGGTTGTTTGTACAGTTCATCTTCTGGTAGGAATAACCACATAACATTTTTGTTTAAAACAACATAAAATGGTTGAGCCAGAAGTCCACATTGGCTTGTGTCAGGCAGGCTGTAGATGTGCTGAAGTAGTAATGTCTTGAAGTTAATGTGAAGTTCGAAAGACCTGACTGCCTGAGCCCTTACGTACTGTCAAACTGAAGTTTGCTAATAACTACTTAAAGCATATAACAAAGTAGTCCAGCTACACCTTTGATGGTTTGGTGAAGAGATGAGAATTAACTAATTTTCCTTGACCTGTGTTGGAGTTTGGCAGTAGAGGCTGAACCTTCCCACCAACATTCTGTTACGTGATGTTGCTGTCACAGAGGGCAGCAGTTGGGCAGTTGGACGAAATGATGTGTGACATGGAAATGCATATGAAGCAAAGGTGTATCATTGAATTTCTCCATGCGGGAAAATGGCACCTTTTGACATTCATGAATGCTTATTGAACATTGCAAACAGTGGATGTGAGCACAGTGAGATGGTGGGACGTGTGTTTCAGTAGTGGTGAAGACGGCATTGCTGATGGAAATGCATCACTATTGAAGAAAAATGCTGTGTTGTCACTAGGAATTTCTCCTATCAGTGTTTGTGTGCTCTTTGTATCTGTTGTATTTCTCCTGGAAATAAATGACAGGCATTACTTTTGGAGTGATCTATATAGAGTGGGTTTTCCCTGCTAAAAGGAGAAAGTGTTTTATGAATTGAGCAGTATTTACATTAATATGTAGCATGCAGGAAAGGCACATGTAACTTAGTAGATGCTTCTTGTAAGTACTCAATTTCTCTTACTGTGGGGGGAGGGGATCTGGCTTTTCAGACCATTGCATGATGCTTTTTGTTCCATCGTTGTCTGTTGTAGAACTTGATTTATTCATTGAGTGGTTCATGTGAAGTAAAGTTAGAGAAGCATCTGTGAAGGCCTAACTGTTCTGCCATGTTTTAGAACTGTTACCACTCCCACCCCTTTTACTGTATTTTGTATAGAAAATTGACAAATGCAGTCATAGGTTGTTTTTTTTTTCTGGGAAAAAGAAAAAAAGAACACCTTTTCATGCTCTTATTATTCATTGACTTCTTGTCAGTGGAAACTCAGAAGTGGATGCTTCCTGCTTATTTATACAGCTGGAATATTAAATCATGTTATTCTAGCTGCTGTAGTGGCAATACTGTAGTATTTGTGCTGTGAATTCTGAAGTTATCCAAACAAGTATATAGCAGTAAGGAAGTTTGGGGTGGTAAGGGTAAGCTACTTGTTACAGTGTGACTTAGCAATTGAAAAATAACATAGCATTCTTGCTGGTTAGCGTGCTGGGTACATCTTGTGTGTGGTACCTGAGGATCACAGCACCAATAGGGTAGGCACCAGTGTAAGTTATGTGTGGAGTTCTTTCTCTTTGGATCTCTAGTTCAGCCAGCATTCTCTTCTGCTTATGCTTTTGGTTGAGGTTGCACTGGAATACTTAGGGAAACGTAACGCTGAACCTTTAGTTTTGCATTTGTCTCTTCACTAGGAGGAGACAAGTAGATGATAACTGAATGGCTTACACTCTTTTGTAGAGCATGAAGTAAGCATTTGGACCCTCTTAGGGATTCCCACTACTTGGTCGTTAGAATATACTTTATCCACTTTTAATAGGTTTTTACTAGCCATATCTTATGTTTCTCTTGTAACTGAATGAATACTTCTGCATTTTTCAGAAGAAATCTGTTCACTCAGAAGATCCTTTCAACGATGAACAACGTGAGCGGCACGAAGTGGAAGCACTAGCCAAGAAGTTCGAGGCAAAATATGTGAGTTTCTGTGCCTTGTTAGCATGTACAACTGTTTAGTTGTGACGGTGTGGCATTAACACCAGGTTTTGGTTGCTCAGTAGAGATGTTGATGTAATGTCAAATGACTTCTGTATATGTCAGAGCTGGCCATCTCATTTATATTTCATCTAAGTAGCTTGAAGCTGCTACAAGATTATTAGACAAGTCTGCTAAATAGATTTCTCCATAGGATAGTATTGCCTGTGAAGCTATTCCTGGGAAAGCTTCCTATGTAAGGGCAACTGAGTAATAAATGCAGGTCGATATTAGTGATAAATACTGTTGTGCACTACTGAGCAGCTCTTCTCTTAAGGCTGTGTACTGACAAATCTTGATGAATTTCTGACTAGTTTGGAATGCTTCCATAGGAAGCTATTATTTAGTAAGTCATCACTTGATGAGTTTATCTTGTAGCTGCCAGATGCCTAAAGTTAACTCTGCTGACTCCTGAAAATGTATCATGAATGACTTGAGCAACTCTAGGTGATAATATAAAGAGGCTTTCACTAATAAATGAAGGTAGAAATCAGAAAGTGTTGTCTAAAACCACACCCAAGCAAGCCTTTAAGAATTCATATGGGTAGGGTTGGGTGATTAATTCTGAGCTGGCAATCAGAACCTCATCATCGTGCTTCGACATGTTGATATTCTGAATTACTAATAGAGAAGGGAAACAAGAACAGTGCTTTGTATCTTTTGCTATTAATATGCATATTGAAATGTTACTTGTTTGATTTCTTTTTTTTTTTCCTGGCGAAGGCTGACTTTTAGGAGTATCTGGTCTAAATATTCAGTAGAAGCAATTAGTATTTCAGAGCATGTTAGATGTGATACATCACAAAAGAAATCCTTAAACTGAAAAGAATCATTTTCTTTTTTTTGAAGGGATTGACAGAAACTCAATATAGCCAGTATACTGAGAAGGCAGTTCCATAAAAGTGTTTAGTTTTCATTTGAATGATAAATTACTTTTTGAACTTCAGAGAGAAATATTTCAATTGTACTTTCTAGAAACTCATTTCCATAAAACAAGTTAAGGATTTTAATAATGTTCTAAAACAAGCAGCTTAATTGTAGGAAATGAAAGTCAGTGGAGAGCATGTAAAGCAATATATGTAGGAGGGGTGGGGGTGGTGGAAGCAATCTAGTACACATGCAGTGTAGTATGCATGCATATACATTCATTCATCAAAGCTAAACGTGTACATTTATGGACAAAGTTTATTATTAAAAATATGAAAACTTAATTCCAGTGCTCAGTAGCATAAGTAAGAGGCAAATAGGTATTTGTAACCATTAGAAAAGCAGTAAATAACGAACTACTGTTTTACCAAGGTATGAATTCATGCTTGTATTTGACTGCACTTCTAAGGTCCTGCCTTTCTTTATTCTGTCATACTTTATGCCCCCACTGCCACAAAATTCTCAGAAGGCAAATGTCTTCTAGGAACAATTTATTAGAGTAGGACGACTAAGGATGGAGGGTGCAGAGAGATTGATAGTTCTTGTGTTAAATAGTCGCCGTCCTTTCTCTCTTCCAATACAAGAGCCATCAGTCTCTACTTACACTTCGCGGTAGGAAGAATTGCATGTCTGTATGCTGACCCAGTGCAATTGCTCCTGTTCTGACAATATCCAGCCAGCTTCTGAATCTTGAGGTGAGACATTTACTCCCTAGCTTAAACTAGGATAGATATCCACTGATGTAGATGCTAATTCTCTTTATCTAATACTTCAGTGTAGAAGTAATCATTGGTTGTATGAGAATGAAGGTTTTTCTCACATTTGCAGGAAGGATTATTTCTTAAACTGATAATGATTTACCCATTTAAAATTGTCAGGTGTCTTCTTTACACAGCATTGATAGTGTAGTAGTGGGAAAAAAAAATGTGATTTGTGGAAAGCACTCTTCCTTAAAGACTTTTTTTACTTTTTTTCATGTAAATGTCTGTACTTATCATTGGTACAGTTTTGGATACATCTTGCTGATACCAACATAAACTCTTTTAATAAACTTTTCTAAGTCTGGGAGTGTAAAGTTAATGCAGTTTGTTTACTTGATTGTTTAGAACTTTATTGTGATGACTGTGAGTTTTAATGTGCCAGCATAGAAATCTCTTCCAAATAGTCGCAATTTTCAGTCCTGCTTTCTTATTTTTTAGTAAAATTAAACATTATATGCTGTATGCTGTAAAAACATTATATTAATCTCAGGCAATATTATATAAAATGTTAAAAATAATAATCCTGAAATAAGATCAGTAGTGGTCAGTTGTAACAGTTCTCTGACACCATGGGAACCTCATGCTTGAAAGTGTAACAGAGCAAGTGTGTGCTGATGTTGCCTGAGCATGCCTTTTGATCAGTTTGTGGCTTAATTTCTTCCCAAGCCGAGGGCTGTGTGTTTAGCCACCATTCATGTAGTTTTCTGCCGTAAATCTGCCAGGCCATCTTCTGAGCTTACTGATATTTAACGTTGTATTCCACAGCACTGAGTGGCGTGGTGATTGCTATATGAAAACATTCTGTGTAAAATTGTTGGCCAATAAGTTCGTGTGGTGCTCCTTAATTCATGTATTGTGAGAAAGAGTGAATGGCTTCCTGTTCTTCTCCATGCTGCGTGTGATTCTGATGCTATCAGCTAGTCTGTCATTTCATTCTCCAGCTGAACTCTGATACTGTACAGTAGCAGCTTTTTACCTTTAAAATCTTTGTTGGCTCACTGTTCCCTTTTTTTGTTCCAGTTTCTTTTTTTAAATGAAAGAACATTAGCAGTAGGATGCCCTGATTTATCGGTGATATAATCATGACTTCTGGTTTTGTTCTTTTTTTTTTTTCTAAGTCCTATTTCTTTCCTTTTTTGACCACTGCTGATTGTCGGGCAAATGTCATAGAACTCCATGTAATGACTCCAGCACTTCCTGAGCAGCATAACAAATTGGGAGCACGCTGTATTTGTTGTTAGGGTTATACTTCCTTTGTGCGGATTACCTTCCTTTTATTATCATAGAATTCAATTTACTATTCAAGTACTGAGAACCGAGTGGTCTCAGTGCTCCTTCAGCTGCCTCTCATATTTACTACACTGAGTAATTTCTGACATCTATCTCTTCCTCCCCGCCCCCCAGCTGTTAGCCTTCTTTGTTGCTTCTACAGATGGATACGTGTTCTTTGGTGACCCATTCGTTCCTACCCTTCGGATACTGGCCTTAAACCAGTCATTAATTTGAGCGGACCTTCTCTCTCATCCAGTGATCGTTTGCTGTCTTTAAGCATCTTGGGGTCTTTTTTTCAAATTTTGAGGTTCTGTTTCCTTCCAGCAAAATTATTTTCTGCCCTGGAATGTGTATTCTTGTATCTCCTGGTTTTGTTTTTTAACTTTTATTAATGTGCCTAATACAGAGATGAAATTGACTCATTTCTGAAGAGTCTTCCAGGGGCATTGTATTTGCTACTTTCTGTGGTGTGAAGGTTCTTTAAACTTCGTGTTATGCTCTATCGTTGAATTAATATTTGAGCTTCTGAACAATTGCATGAGTGCTGTTTGTAGCTTCAGGAATCCTCAGTTTGCTCTGGTGTAATGGCTGCTTATGCTTTGGGACTGAAAGGTTGGAGAAGCTCTTTGAGAAGAGAGGTGGAATAACACCAGTAGTAAAACTTCCCTTAATTATTGTGTAGTAAGCATTGATGCAGAAGATCGCTTCAGTTTTGTCTGGAACATCGATAGAGATGAGCCAGTATACTTTTAACACACTTCCTTAAACATAGCTTGGTAGAGTCAGCCTGAAGGAAATTCTCTAACTGCAAGTATGGTGGTTCAGATACTATCATATCTGCTTCTATCTCAAGACAACTTACTGTTTTAATCCTACCTTTACTCACTCTGCTCTTAGAAGACTTTCATTTATTAGGCTTGTCCCATATCTGTGCTGAATGTCTATGAATAACATGCAGTAAAAATGCATTGGGAAATCTCTTTTAAATGCTTGTATGTACTGAAGTAGGCATTACTGCAAAAAGACTTGGAACCCATGAACAAGGATGTGCTCCCCTGTGTTCTTAATTATCTGGAGTTAAGAGAAATAATACAGAGGTGGATTGCACTATACTATATTAATGGGATTGTAGAGGCAAAATGCCATAGTGTTCATTAACTTATAGTTGCTACAGAATCATGAGAATTACAAACTTGCATGAAATGCACTGGAATTTTAAAAAGAACACTTAAATTTTACCTCTGCTTTTCAAATATTTTCTTCTTTCATCCAATATTGTTTTTTTTTTTTTTTAAAACAAAAAGCTACTGCATGTCTGCGTATTCCCAAAGCATTGGACGAGTAACTTAACTATAGGGGATGACAGAGCTGATTAAAAAAAGGTTAGGGGTACTATTAGATTGGAAACCTGAACTCGAAATGGAACTCACCTTTGTGGTTTTTTTCTTATACAATTGTGTTTATTTGTTTAGTTATACCTGTTTGTTTGCCAAGAGTATATACTTTGCTCATAGTTAGCAAATATTCATGGAAGAGCCTGATGTTGTTTTAGTAAAGATGGTGCCCTTAGGCACTTAGTTTTAATAATTTTATATTGACAATTTCCACAGTATGCAGGAGTCAGAAAACTAGGCCTCACATCTTAAGCACTGCTTGTTTGCAAGGCCTTAAGTTCAGTTATCCTGCAGTTGGTTTGAGCTCGGTGTGACTTTTTACTGAACAGTTACACTTTCATGTTGGAAGAGTACTTACAGGTTAAACTGAAGTTTACTTTCTCTTGGAGGTGAGTGAATGCTCATGGCTTTAAGGTAACTCAAGTAACCATCTCATGTCTGGTCCTATCAACTGCAGTGACAGCTCTTGTATTTCATCTTACTGTGTTTTTCTTCAGTTACGTTAAATAAATGCTGTAACTTTTTGGAAACTCACACTCTGTATCTGCAAGCACCAGATCAATATTTTTCTCTTTTGGCTTAGGCTTCACACTCCTGTAGAAAGGCAGCCCATCTTGTGTGGGAAAACTTGTTAGCAAATGCAAGGCTGTTTGTGTTCTCCTTTGTAATGGCCCTGTAGTGTACTGAAAGACTTAACGCTACCTAAATTATGTCAGTTCTATCACTAACAGAATTTTAAAACCAGAGCAATGAAACACGTCTCAGCAGAAAATGTTAGGAATACTTCAGTCACCCAGAAACCAGGTGGCTAATGAATAACTTTCAGAAATGATTCTGATAAGGCATTTATACAGCATTTCAGCATGCTTGCAGGAACTCATTCCTATGTGAAAGTTATGCCTTCTGGTTTTTATTTACGTAGACAGTCTTCAAAGACACATCAAAGTAAAACTCTGCTAATTCCCTGAATGACTATCACACCAGTGTTCTGCGTTTTATAGACTTCAGTCTACGTATCTGTAGACTTTTGTTTGCTTTCTTCCCAACTGATATAACTTTCTTTTCTTTTCCAGAGTGGAAAGCCCCACAAACATCGGAAGGATCGCCTGCAGGATCTCATTGATATAGGTTACGGCTATGATGAAACAGACCCTTTCATTGATAATTCTGAAGCAGTAAGTAAGCCTTATTAATACAGCAACAAGAAATAAAGTGGCCTTTTTTTCTTTTCTTTATAAAAGGAAAAGAAAGGTAGTGGCAAATGCTTTGTGCTCGAGTGTAACTAGTGTGAATCCAAATGGTAAGTTACTGTGGGCATCCAATAAATGGATGGTTTGTAGTCTGAGATCATTTTGTATTGCAAGAGCTAAGAAAGCTGTTACTGTATCACATATTCCAGTTGTAGAAATTGATTTTATTTACAGTGGTCTGAAATTACACTGGGCTTTGTTTAGTTTCTTGTACTAGCTGTCTGGATTATGAATTGATTACTGGTGGTAGGTTTCCTGTATGAATTCGAATACTAGTCTTTTCTCCAGAACCCACAGGGACACTGAACATCTGAAAATTTTGAGATAAAATAGGTTTGAGATAAAAACAAGATTTTACAGATTATTTTATGAGTACTTTTCAGAAATCTTCTCAGATGATGTAAGACAAAAATGCATTAATTGGATGCAGGCAGTATCTATTTGGAGGATTATAAGAAGGCACTTGAAAATATCTTAAAGGTTATATAGAAAATTGTGAAGGAAAGAGCTTGGAAGAAAGAGTAGATGATAAAAGATTTGGGAACATCCTATAGTTCTCCTCTATTAGATGCCAGAAAGGAGTAGATATTCATTCTTCATTTTTACTTGACTAAACAGTACAAAACCACTAACAAGCACCACCTGACATGTTAGCCAGCCTTTAGTCTCCTCTGGTGAGTGGCACAGGACCAAGCAGCCATGATGAAGAGGGGGGAGCTAAAAGTTTGAGTCTTGAAAGGTGGGAGGAAAGGAAATATAAAGGAAAAAAACACCATGGAAATGAAGTGTATTGTTTAGCATTTATTATGCTGAGCTAATGTGGTAAGAGTCCTGGAAGTTATAAAACCATTTTGAGAACTCTGTGAACACTGAGCTGTGAGGTTTCTAGTGTACGGCAGTTGCTCTGCATACTGCTGAGAACAGTGTGGGTACACAGAAGGTATGCTGAAGAACTGGTACCTTCTTGAGCAAGAGAAGTCCAGCCATTTACCACAGTGGGTAGCAGGCTGAGCTCATCTCAGTGGATTGTTTTGATGAAGGCAGTCTGAAGGTGCATGAGCAAGTTGTGTGAAAAGTAAGTTTGCTGTAGATGCTTGGCCATAACCTCTATTAATTTGTCATCTCTTTTCTTGGCCCAGATTAATATTGGCAATGTCAACTAACATTTTAACTATCTTATATCCCATGGCTTTTGATTGTGCAGCTGGGACCATACTGGGGCCTAAGATGGTGTCATTTGCAAAGGTCAAATTCTGATCTTCAGCTCAGTAAGAACAGATGTTTCATTCTTGCTGAGAAAGCAGTTTAGTCTGTGTAGGCTTACCTGGGTACTCACTGTTGCTGAAGACAGTCACCCTCACTTCTGAAATCTTGTGATAACAATGCCCAAGTTATATTTTGATTTTTTTTTTTTTCCCAAGATTTATTTCGTTCTATCATAGATCTTATTTATGCATTGAGTACTCATAGTACAGATCCCTGTCAAAGCTGAATATGAGTTCTTGAGATTTGAACACTACTATTTCTCACACTTTGCTTCCTTCAAGTGCAGTTCTTGCTACCAGTAACACATCATTAGCTTTGCAGAACCATTTGCTTCAGATATCTCCTGCAAGAACATAGAAAAGGTAGTTGTCCAAGCACCAGAGGGTTATGTCGTGTGTAAGCTACTGGGGAAGAATGGTATATTATCTGAAGGCTGCTCTCCTGAGCAAATCATTATGCCTTGTCTTCATAATGAATTCATAGTGCAGACTAGTGAAATGCCATCTCTGTATGCCAGCTGCAGTCTTAAGTCCCTGTTGCTGAGCTTAAGGGCTCTATAGTGTGGCATTTTAGTGCAGCGAAACCTCTTTTTCATTCTCTGTCAGATGCAAATGGAAATTGTTTAGAAGGGAAGCCTAGATGTTGAGTTTGTTCATCTTCTCTGGACAGCTATTAAATCGCTGAGAAACAGCAGAACTAGGTTCAGCCTAGACACTTCCTTTTGAAATACATGCTTTCTTAAAAATAAAAAGCTATAATGTCCAGGGTACAGATGCTTGGAAGCAAGTATGAGCACCTCTTCAATTGTTCCAGGATTGGAGTCCTTTTATCTCCTGTGTCCCAGGCAGGATAAGCTTCCTTAGAATGCTAGTCCTTGTCACAGGAGTGAAAGAAATGCTGAACTCTTTGGCAATGAAAGAGATTTATTCTGTACCTTTAGGGAGTTCTTCCTTTTAAAAACAAATGTTGAGAGAATGCTATCAAATGCTATTGAAAAAATCAAACCAGTAAAACTAAACCTCTTTTTTAGTAGGCACTCTGAGTTAATGAATCCTGCTTTCTTTGGATCTGTTTGCAGATTAAGCAGTTTTCTACATGCAATGAAGAGGCATATATAACATGTGGCATGTGTAACTGCATTTGGTTTCTTCAGGAATCAAATTGGTCATTTTCTTCCTTGAAAGGGGAGGAAACGGTCAATCTCAGGGACTCTGCTAATGACATGATTGTCAAGTAACAGACTTCAATAGGGCTGGAGTACAAACAGCTATAGGGCGTGTGTTTCTAGAGGAAGATTCTTGGAAAGCACCGATTGAAGTGGACTTCCTCTAAGCAAAGAAGTTTTTCCAGTCACACTCCTTAAAGGGCAGTGGTACTTGCCCTGATAGAGTAGGTTGGGCTCAGGGCTGTTTGGCATCAGTGCCCCATCTTCAGCCAAAAAAAAATTGCCTGAGATTCCTACTGATCTTACAAACCTACTTTCATTGTTCTCTCTGGAAAGAATCAATCCTTGCCTATTGAGTATCACAGAACTGTAGGGGCTAGAGGGCACCTCCAGAGATCGAGTCCAGCTCCCCTGCAAAGCAGGTCCTCTACAGCGCTCTGCACAGGTAGGTGTCCAGGGGATCTTGTATATCTCCAGAGAACAAGAATCCACAACTCCCCCCCAGGCAGCCTGTTCCAGTGCTCCATCACCCTTACTGTGAAGAATTCTTCGCATATTGGTGCAGAACTTTCTATGATCAAGTTTCCCCTTGTCCTGTTCCTACAGACCACTCAAAAGAGGTTGGCTGTGTCTCTTTGATTCCCTCACTTAAGATATTTATAAGCATGAATCAAATCCCCTCTGAGTTGTCTTTTCTCAAGGCTGAACAGATCCAGTTTGCTCAGACTTTCTCTCATGAGAGAGATGTTCCATACCCTTAATCATCTTTGTGGCCCTCCACTGGACTTTCTCCAGGAGATCCTGGTCTTATACCAGGAAGTCCAGAACTGGATACAGTACTTTAGGTGAGGCCTGACCAGGGCAGAGCAGAGGGGGAGGATCACCTCCTTGCCACCAGGGCACACTGCTGGCTCACTGCCAACCTGTCATCCACCAGGACCCCCAGGTCCTCCGCAGAGCTCCTCTCAGCAGGTCATGTCCCACCCTGCACTGATACTTGCTGTTACTCTTCCCAGGTGCAAGACTCTATGCTTGCTCTTGTTAAACCTCATTTGGTTTAACAAAATATTTCCCTAAGTGACAATAATACTTACACCACATCTTCCTTCAGTCTCGTCTCCTCTTACTGAATAAGAACATAGTTAGATATTGCTGTATGCTTTGGATGTATCCTGGTGTTTGATTATTTTTTTTGTCTTCACCCTTGCTGTCCTCCTCCTTGGGTGATTTTGTTAGTTTCTAACTTTCTTGGAGAATTGGCTTTCTCTTCATAATTCAACTGAGACAAGTGGGAAATCTGTGCTTCAGGGGGTATTTCTGGATTGAGCGTTTTGATTGTAGTAAATGGATGCTGAAGTTTTCATTCTAGATAAAATTTACATTGAGGCAATCTTCCATTTTTTTTCTAGCTGCTCTATATCAGCTTGTTCCAACCTTTAGCAGTTGACTTCTGCAGTAGTAATGCAGTATTTATAACCTGCAAGGAAAGCTGTTCCTCCTCGGTTTTTCCACTGCTTCAAAGTCTAAAATGAGTATTGCTGTAGTGCAAATTACCAGGCTACAGTACTTGTGGAATGGTGCTCCTGTACGCTTTTGCTTTCCCTCAGTTCTTTCTGCATGCACTTGCATGTGAGCCTGGTCTCCTTGTTTTTGTGATGAAATATTTGGTCAGTTGCATGCCTTTCTGACAGCGTAAGCTTTATATGCGTGGAGGATCCCTGAAGTGCTCTTAATTTTCTGCTATGCCACATAGAATGGGAATCTGAAGAAAGACATTGTGTTCAGAGAACAAGTATGCTATTACCTCTTACTTACACCTGCATGTCCAAAAACAAGGATCACTTAGAACCTTTGTAAGTTGGACAGATGAACACAGAAGGGAGAACAGCCTACCTAGAAATCTGTAAGCATTTGTTTTGGAACAGTGATGCTCCGTAACCCAACTGACAGTAATTGAAACAAAACATAAATGCCAAGTGTAACAGAGATGCTGATTGATGGTCAGCACTTCAGGACACTCAAGACTTTAACTGTTAGCCTGCTAATGCTATAGGTGCTTATACTGGAAAAATGTTGCCTAAGACCCATTATTAAACATATTTTCATTTTAAATTGAGAGAGAAACTTAACATTATTGCTGCATTTTCATGTGGAAAAAGCTGCCCTTGTAAGCCTCTGTAACATCATCCTCACTAAGTATAGAGGGTGTCTTAAAGTTTTTATTTTTTAAGATATTTGCTAGCTGTTTCTTTGGATATAGGTTTGTTATTACTGACCTGTCTTCCTTGTTCACTGTCACTTTGCACAGTGGTTGGGCACCAGTGCATTGTGTCACTTTAATAAAAGATATCTTGCATGCTTCCCAGGTGTCTTCAGGGTAGATCTGCTGGCTGGCAGCTGATATGTCATATGCATTCTAATGAATTCAGGGCAAATTTCAATTAAATTTTCCTTTGCTTTTGTGTCCCTACTCCCCGAAGATAAATGAGGGTGT